AAAGTAACATTAGCCCATAAATTCAAGCCATATACGACAAATCTCCACTTTGGCTTGAAATCCGCAAACCTTCGAGAATGTCAAATAATTTCTCAAAACACACCTCTAAGCTTACGTAAGCTAACTCGGTGCAAGAAAAAAGAGTTATGAAGAAAAAAATATTAACTTCAACACCGGGACTAATAAAATTTCTTCTTTCTAACAATACCCTAACATGCATAAATAAATGTTTAAAGCATACGGGTAGATTCATGAGCACTTGACCAAAGCAACAGAGTGATACGTATGTGCTTAACTCTTCAATTCAAAACTCCACACTAATAGTGGCATGGGGCATAAGCATAAGATAGAAGTGTCACATGGGTAGAAGCATTAGGCATATATACGAGACAAATGCTTCATACGGGCAAAGGCATGAAGCACGAAGAGAGAAAATAAAACTCACACGATCTTGCCTTTCTTTTTCACAAGACCAAACCTCTATTTTCAATAGTACGTTCTAATTTTTTTAACACCACTCGAGTCTAAACAATCCATGAACTTATTTGTTATAACAAGTTTAGTTAACATATCAATTGAATTATCTTTAGTAAGAATTTTTTTACTATAATCTTCTTATCGAAATTATTTCATGGATTAAATGATACATGATATCAATATGCTTGGTCCTCTCATGATGTGATTTATTTTTGGTTAAGTGTATAGTTGATTTTAGTTGTGTATAACATTCTAGTTGTCACAAAAGACAACTAAATTTTCTTCTTGTTAAAGAACAAGTTTCTTCATAAGATTTGTTTAACCAAATAGCCTTCTTTACGACCTCGACTGTTACCATATATTCTACTTTAGTAGTCAACAAAGAAATTATTGATCATAATATTGATCTTCAACCTATAGTAGAACTCAAAAGTATAAAGATATACCCAATCAAAGATCTCTTTTCATCTAGATCACTTATGTGGTCGAATTCATAAAGCCTACGATAGAAGTTTCGAAGTAATTCTCTTTTCAAAGACTAAACTCAAGTTTATGGTACCTTTGAGATACCTATAAATCCACATCACTCGCTTACTCATGTACCTTTCCTAGGTGAGCCACATATCCGCTCATAACATTGGTCGTTTGGGCAATGTATGGATGAGTGTAGATCATAGCATACATTATACTACCTACTACACTAGAATATAGAACTCGTGATATTTCTTTCTTTTCTTCTACATTTTGAGGTGACCGAGAAGCTAAAAATCTAAAGTGAGCAGATCAATAAAGTGCTGATAGGTTTAGCCTTCGCATACCAAAACGCTCATGTACTTTCTTAATATATCTTTTTCATGAAAGATATAATTTTTTAGCCTTCCTATCTCGATGAATCTCCATACCTAAAATCTTCTTCGATACTCCAAGATCTTTCATCTCAAACTCATCACCGAGTTATTTTTTTCAACACCTAAATTTCTAACATGTTCTTGGCAGTAATAAGTATGTCATCTACATACAACAAGAGATACACAAAAGATCCATCTCGTTAACTACCTAAAATACTCACAACTATCATAAATAGATCTTGAATGACCATGTTAAGTATAAAACTTTCAAACATCTTATACCACTATCTTGGTGATTGTTTTGGGCCATACAAAGATTTCTTCAATGTACAAGCATGGTCTTTTTTTCCTTTCACAAAATATCCCTCCAGATTGAGATATATAAATAATCTCCTCAAGCTTTTCATACGTAAAAGCTATTTTCACATCAAGTTGTTAGAGCTTCAAATCAAATTAAGTCACCATAGAAAACAACATGTGAATAGTGGTATGTTTCACAAATGGAGAAAATACTTCATTATAATCGATTTCCTCCTTCGATTATAACCCTTAGACACCAATCATGTTTTGAATCTAGTATCTTTAACACATGGTATTTTTGCCTCATTCTTGTAGACCTATTTACATTCAATGACTTTGTTACCTTTAAGTAATTTCATCAAATCCTAAATTTTATTTTTATAAAGTGAGTCGAGTTTTTTTGTCATTGTAACGACCCAGTGACTAGACTTTTCATAAATCATTGCCTCCGTACACATAGAAGGCTCTTGAATACCCATTTTCTCAACTCCAATGAAGGCATAAGCATATTTCTTAAAAGTTCTTATTTGTCTCCTCTCTTGGCCAGTAGCTATTAAGTAAGGTTGTTTAGATTCTATGACATCTTCATTCATATCTGAATCTTGTTGCATTTCTATAACTATAGGAGATATATCTAGGGATGGTTTTTGAGGAGTCTCTCTTTTAAACTCCACCCGAAGCTCCTCCTTATTCACGACTTTGTCACTCTTTCTTGTAGACTTACAAACAACCTTTCTTTGATCAAACATATATCTCTAATTAAAAATAACATCTCTACTAATAATAAATTAAGACAAATTGAGTTTAGGGCATAATAAACGATAATCTTTCATTCCATCATCATACTTAATAAATATGCATTTCTTTGCTCTAGGTTTAAGTTTACCATCTTTAACATGATAATAAGTAAGACATCTCAATAATTTTAAATTTGAATAATCACTAGGCTTACTTAACTATATCTTATTTGGTGTCTTACAATCAATGACGAGTAGAGGAAGAACTGTTGATAAGATAATAAGTCGTGTTAATTGCTTCGACTTAAAAATTCTTTTCCAAGCTCAAATTAAAGAGCATAAATTTGGCTCTCTCTATCAAAGTTCCGTTCATGCTCTTTGCCACCCTATTTTGTTGAGGAGTGTGTCTAACTACGCAATGCTGAATAATCCTAAGGTTTGTACAAAACTCATTTAAATTTTCACCACGGAATTCCAAGTCATCATCCGTTCGAAGATGTTTAACTTCTTTCTTGTTTGATTCTCTACTATAACTTCTTATTGTTTAAAATTTTTGATAACATCACTCTTATGTTTGAGAAAATAAACCCAAACCTTCAAAGAGTAATCATCAATAAACATCAAAAAATAAAATACACCACATTTAGATGGAATCGAAGTTGGTCTCCATAAATCTAAATGGATGTAATCAAATGTGCCCTTTATACAATGTGTGCCAATAGAGAACCGCACCTTAGTTTGTTTTCCTAAGACATAATGCTTAGAAAAATCATGTGATGTCATTTGATTATCATAAAGCAAACTATGTTTACTCGTAGTAGTCATACCTCTCTCACTTATATAGCCTAAATGCATATGTAATAATTGAGTTTTTTCCTTTTCGAGTAGGAAGTAATCACCCCCGTAGAGTCATTCATCGTATTATCTTACAACACGTAGAGATGATTAATCCGAGTTGTTTTCATTATAACCAAAGAACCCGTAGAAACCTTTAGAATTCAACTTTTATCATAATAACCATAACCTCTCAAATCCAGATAACTTAAAAAAATTAGATTTTTCTTTAAATCTTGTATAAGTTTTACTTTTGTCAAAGTCCTCGTAATCAAATCATGACACCCGATATAAATTGTACCACTACTAGTCATCTCACAAGATGAATTATTGTCCATCGGAATAGAACCACCACTTATAGGTTCATAAGTGATAAACCACTCTTTATTTGGACATATATGATAAGAGAACTCGTATCCAAAATCCACTCTTGATTAGAATGGCCATATAGAGGACATACAATAAGAATACTTTTAACAAGCATCAACATCAATAGCCTTCGCCACATTAGCTAACTTAAAACTTTGAAACTATGGTTTCTTCTTCTTCTTTAGAGTAGGACAATCTGATTTGTAATGTCCTTTCTTATAACAATGGTAGCAATCAACATTGTTCTTCTTATCCGAAAGTGATCTAAACTTAGAATAAAATTTAGGTCTTCCTTTATAATCTTCTTCATCTTTCTATCTCCCCTTTACTAACAAACCATCGACTCGACTATCAACCATTTTACCATTCAGCTTATGTCTCAATTCAATAGAATTCAAAAAGGCCTTAATATCCTCTAAATTTATGGACTCTCTACCATATAACATTAAATTGATAAAATTCTCATACGAAATAAGTAATGAACGCAATATAATAAGAGCTTAATCTTTCTCATCAAGTTTAATATCAAGATTTTTTCATATTCATAACAATCTTCAATAGACATACTTTTTCGCATCTTTAGTGTATAAAGAAGTTATTTCAAATATAATCTGGTTTTAAGAGATTTCTTCATGTAAAAGCTTTCTAACTTCTTCCACGGTCCCATCTTCGTCTCTTTATTTACAACTTCTCCAAGTACCTTATCCGACAATGATAATTGTAGAAGCACTATGAGCCTTCTTATCCATCTTGTCAATTTTGGCAAAAGTCATGTCATCCGGGTATATACCCTCGGTTACCTTGACAAAACCTTCACATCGCAAAAAAGCTTTCATCTTTATCCTCCATAGGCCAAAATTATTTTGACCATCAAAAGGTGTAACATAAAATTTTAGAACTACCATTATGAATAAAAAACTTAAAGATACACAACCCGCACTTCGATATCGGTTTGTTATAACAAACAATAAAAACAAAATAAGTAATGGCAGATAATAATCAAAAGATAAAGCTAAACAAATTATCAACACATAGAATTTACGTAGTTTGGTAAATTGTCCGCTCCACGAGCGAGAGGGAAGTTTTTATTAACTTGATAGCAGAAGAATACAATAAATCTAAACACTTAATACAAAATCACTATCTTTCACTTTATTTTATAAATAGAGACATAAAGAAGTTTAAATATCTCATATTTATATAAAAAAAAAATCTAATGGGCTAAATGTATTATTGGCCCATAAATTCAAGCCATGTACGACAAATACAACTACCGAGTTCATTTATATGGACTTGCAAAGGAAGTCTTCCAGCATTTTGGCATAAGTCTACTAACTTCTCCAAACTTTGAATAAGACAGGCACGGTTGAACTAGTAGAATCTTTGAAACATTGAACACACGATTGAACTAGTAGAATCTTTGTAACATTAAACTATGGATGCAACACAAGATCTATCTATGATGGATGTTGTTTCTTCAGTATTAGAAAAAATTATCCTATAGAAATACTCTCCTGAAATAAAAACCTCAGCTATTTGAAGCTTCCATGCATTTTGTGGAATAAATCCTCCAGATATTGATAAGGAAGAGGGTACGAAAACACTTGTATCTATGGAGGAAGAGTTGGGGCCAAGAACCTAATAAGATGCTTGGAAATAACTAGAAATCAAAGCGAATGCATGAAAAATAATTTCAGATGGCTAGAATGACCCACATCAGTCCAAGCACTTCTCTTTTTTGTTCTGGCAGTTTGAGTGGCAGTGCTAGAAACGAAGTGAAGGAAACATTATGTTTATTCCAGACTATAAACATATGTAAATAAAACAACGAATACTTGTAATAGGGTTGATTTCCAAGCATAAAAAATTCTTGAGGAGGAAAAATATGCAAATGAAGGCAAGCAAATAATTGGTTCTGTCCTAGGAATTGAAGTTAGAGACAAGTTTTTCTGTAGAGTAGAGCTTAATATTGTTGGTCTTCATCGCCAAATTGAGGATGGAATAGATTATGCAAAGCAAAAGGAAATAATCATCGTAAGACTTATTGTATCATCTGGAGGAGGCTATGATGATGACATAAATAACTCAAATATTTTGATATATATATATATACCGGATTTAGGTGATGAGAAGAGAAAGGAATTTGAAGATCAGAAGCTTGAGTGGGGTAAGCTAAGCATTGAAGAACACTATTGATGCATAGAATCCTGTAAGGGTGATCCACGGTGATTCATTCATGCAACAGGTAAGGCACTCATATATAGATGATGTGCTCTATCTAATGGACGAGTGTTGTCTGAAAAGACTCTGGGCCATCACATTGTAAGCCATTTAAGTTTTGGTTGGTTCGGGTTCCATTTGATTTTATTGTTCACTAGCCCAAATCCTGCATTGCTCCAAATGCCAGCCTCTATTATAAGAGAACCGAAGCCGAAGCAACTACTCATAATATTACAAAAAAAAACTAAAGTAAAACATATATTATTATTCATTATATTATTTAAAATACTATTCATCCAAACTTATTTGTATTATTCAAATACATTATTCCTTTCACTATACAATGACATTTATATCATTTTTAAAATATTTATTATGAAAATTTTCATGACATTACACTTTGATCTTTTTTTAAATATTATTTTTTTAGTCTGTAAAATTTTTTATTTAATTTTTTTCCCTCCTTTTATTTTATTTTAATCACTTTAATCCTATTTTTTTTATTATTTTTAATAAAAAATTTAAGGCAAAAATGTTTAAAAAAATTTACAAAATAAGTTTTTAGCTAAAGATTCATTGATTTGTTTTTATGTTATTATAAATTTTTTAATTTGTGAATAGAGATAAATAAATAATATTTTTAATCAAAAATTTATGAAAAATATAAAAAATAATCAATCAAATATAAAATTTTAATTAAAAATTATAAAATTAAACGAATTTTGATTTAATATATGTACATAATAACACCAAACATTAAATTTAAATAATTTTTAAAAATAATTTTATATATTTTATTTGATCTATAGCTTAATGCAGATGAAAAACTAATATAACAAAGATCATAACAATTACATATGCTAATGATGATGACAAGATCAACCATGCCACGGAGGTACATTGGATAGCTTGTGCTTAATAGTATCTTAAAATATCATCTTAATTTAAAATTTTAACTTTTAACTTGTTGGATAAGATCTCAACATAATTTAATATATTACTATCTAAACATACATATTTTAGTTCAAAAATTAATCTTATACATAAGAATATCACTTTTAGTAGGAGGGATCTTATCAATTAGCTTTCATACGAATACCACTTAGAAGGGATCTTATCACTGGGCTTTCATTGATAAACATATATATATCAAAAAGTAAAGCGACAATTCATTAAATGCCACAAAATAATAATAGAACTTGTGAAAAAAGGAATGGAGAGATAATGCCAGCTAAAATATCTGCAGTATTGCCAATCAAAGACTGGTTTTGTTGATTCCACGGGCACACAGTGTCTTGTAGTGTAAGAGACAAAAGAACGATGTTGATGGACGTAGAAACACCCATCTGTTCGAAAGAGGAACAAAATATTGGCTTAGATATTATCATCTTTTAACTGTTGTTTCTTATGACAAGCAATCTAAAAATATCCCCACTAGTCACTGTTTCTTTGCATTTTACATTATCCCTTTCCATTGAAGTGTATCAATGTCTAGTACAAACTCAAAAAAATTAAAAAAAGGAAAAGTTATGTAGACTAGGAGGCTATTGCCCAGTGGTTTTGATGAGGAAGTGGTTTATGACGCCGGCGGAGGTCTTCTAGGACTCGGCGAGTCTCATGCCTGCCGGCAGTAGTACTACAGTGCTTATAATATTTTAGTCTTTCCTTGGTAGATGCTTCTAGTTCTCTCATTTCATCCAAAACTATCTGCCTACTTCTACACTCTATGCTGCAAAACCCTTGATCACCCCTGCAATCACGTATATTCAATAGTAATTTTCAGAAATGATCTCGACAAGAAAATTGTAACTGGAAGAATACAATTTAATTCATATGAAATTAATCCAACTTAGTATTACCTGTACATGTAGACATCTTTGTCTAGGCTCAGCATCTTGTTGCATAAGGAGCATGATTTGAGGTAAGAATATTCAATATCGGTGCTCGCCTGGACTGGAAGGCTCTTTTTTCTCAAAGCAGATTTCGTGACAACATTAGAATCTCCTTCTAGTAATAGGCTTTGCAAGCCAGCAACCATTAAACCCTTCTTTGTGCTTGCATAATTGGATCTAGACATGGCTTCCTCATTCAAACATCCTTCCATTTTGAAGGGAGTCCTGAATTTTGTTAGCATCTGCTATGAAGAGTGATGACTAAGAGAGGAAAATTAGTACGGAGCTTGTGAAGTGTGAAGTGAAGGAGAGAGATGAATATATAAAAGCAGATTGTGGCCACATGTCTTAAAGAAACACAATGTAGGACAGGAAATAGTAAGAGCGTGCTTCATTTTTTATTACCGTACGTATGTTGTTTTTGGTGCTTTTCACATGCTGCAATTTTATTTATAGACTGTATAAATAATTAATCTTTACCGTGTTTGGTTTGCTTTGTCGGAACTCATTTATTAAATAATTTGGGGTGTCGGGAACTTACAGCCTTTAAAAGTGTGCCTAACTATGACCCACCAACTACAAGACAAAGCTTTTGTTCTGTTGTCCAATATGAGAAACGTGAAACTACTACTCACCTATAATTTATTAGCATCGGCCGGAACAATACCGTATCATATTCCATTCCATTAAGAACTAGAATCTTTAACCTGCTTTTCTTTTTGGAGTAAGAAGCAAAGTAAATCACTAAATCTATGTTTGTATAGTTGATCAAGTTTTTAATTTATTTCTATGTTTTTAACTGTTTTTAGTATATCTTTATACAATATTTAATTTTTTAAATATGTCATTCAATTAAAAAATTTCACTTAAATTGACATAATTATATTTTTCGTTTCAAAATTATCAATGAGTTATAGAAAAATATAATTTTAATTTAAAAAAATTAACATTTTTATTTTAAAATTTTTGAGTAATCTTAATTTTTTAAAAAATGAGAAATTTTGATAAATATTTTTATTATATTTTTATATAATTTAAGAGTAATTTTGAAATGGAAAATATAATTTTATGAAAAAGCCTTGATTGAATAACTTATTGAAGAATTTAATATTTTACAAAAATATAATAGATATAATTAAAAATATAAGAATATTTTGAATAGTTAAATTGATTTATTTATCTAAAAAATTAATAATAAAAAAATGCAATATCGTTTTTGACCTTGAGAACATTAGGCATCGTCGAAATGTTTTGGGCTACTTAGTTCTTAGGCCAATTGTTTGGGCTGATTACTACATCTGGGTCACATTTGTATCGAACAAAGTCCAATCCAGAAAATGCCGACCTTTCGGAACCTGCTAGGTTTCTTTAATAAAATAAGGTTAAATAAGTCCAATCTCTCGTAAACTTCTAATTTATTTAAAATTGAATTCTTAAACTTTAAATTTAATTTTTAAAATTCTTGAAATTTTAATTTTTGATATTTAATCTATCCAATGATTTTCAACTATCACTCTTCTTTTAAAAATAATTCAATTCTTGATATATTTAACTGAAATTTTGCATACATATTGAAAAAAAATCCAATTTATTTTTTAAAAAAAAATTAAAATTTTTTAAAATAAAAAAGTATATTTATTTATTTTTTAAACATTAAAGAAATAGAAAATAATCTAGAAACTCACATTTTTTAAGAGTTCTATATAAATCTCACATAATGATTTTTATCATAAAGCTATTTATGTTAGCATAATGATAAAAATTACTCTCGTTTTATTCTAATTTGACAATTTCAGGTTTTTATTATAAATTTGTGTAATTTGAACCTCTGAATATCAATTTTTTAGCAAATGTTATCAAAATCCTCTTTTTTCGTTATTTGTAATGGTTAGCCTAATTGATCGTTAAATGGAATGCTTAAATGACATTATTTAAGCATTTCGTTGTTATTTAAAAAAAAAGTTAAAAATTTCTTAGATGAATATAGATTTCATATTTTCTTTAGATCACTTGAATTATTATTTTTTTACTAATGCTTTTCCTATATTTGAACTTTTCCTATATTTTTCAAGAGAGAATTTTTTTTTCACCCGTTTACCTATAAATAAATAAAAATTATTAAATCTATCACTAAAGTTTCTATTGGTTTGTTTTTGAAAAAAAGGCTTTCACTTTTTGAACCTATTTTTAAAAAACTAAAAATTAAATTAAAAAAATTTTAAAAAATGATTTTCTAACTCTAACAATTTTAAATGCATATTATATATTTGAATCAATTATGAGAATTCAAAATCCTATAAAACATGTGAAAATAAAAAAATATTAAATAAATATTTGTCCAAATAATGGAGAAAAGAAGATTTTAATAATATTCGTCCAAATTATACAAATTGATAATAAAAACTTGAAATTGTCAAATTGTAGTAGAATGGGGATAATTTTTACCTGTAAACCTATTTATGTGATTGTTATTTTTTAAAATAAATAACATACAAATGAAAGATGGATTGAATCTCAAAAAATTTAAAATTTCAAAAATTAAATTTGAATTTCAAGAACTCAATTTCAAATCACTTAATATTTAAAAGAAGTTTGAACCATCTAGTAATAAAATAATTATTACTTCTTAAAGAAAAAAAGGCATCATTATATTTATTTTTCAAAATATAGAAAAGCATAACTATTTAATACAGGATGCCTTCGATGGAATATCATCATTACCTTCGGAACAGTTGTAGCATGCCTGAGTCCCTCTGTTAATACTTCGGATTAATCGCTCCTTCCGCTAATTTTGTGTGGCATACTCTATCCCTCTGACCCTCTCTGGAACATATTCCTAAAAAGCATTACCCCGAGACACGTTGTATGCTAATAAGCTGACATGTTGCAAAATATTTTATTTTAAAAATTGAGCCCAAAAAATAATAAAACGATGGATAAAAGAAATTAAAGTTTTATATATATATATATATATATGCGCACACGCTAACAAATTCTTAGAAATAGTCAGTATAAAAGATTGGCTCCCGTCGAAACAAAATCCATCAAAGTTAGCGTTTTCAAGTAACAAGTTCATGTACCAAAAAACCAAAATAAAAATTTTTGGTCGGACACGAAGTTTGATCCAAAAAAATCTCTCACTACTTATTGACATAAAGAAAGAAAAAAAAAAACTCCTTCATAATAAATGTGATTTTTTTTTCTTATTACTATCTCACATACAAAACCATAGCAAATGAAAAAAAAAATTCAATTAAGGATAATAAAAATTAATTTTTTTAATTCACACACAGGTATATATATATTGCCATACACTCATTCTATAAACCAAAATAACAAAGATTGATCAAGTTGGCAATATATTCCTTTGTCAACTAAAGTTTCAACTTCTTATAACCTAAAAAAAAAAAACTAAGGTTCAGCTCTTATATGTTTTTTTTACTCGATAATAAAGTTTTTGTTGATTTATGTATTAAATGAAACTAAATTATTTTTTACATTAGATTAGTATATCTATTTTTTAAAAAATTAAAACATTTATTTAAATATTAACTTTAAAATTCAAACCCACAAAATAAAAAGTTAGAAAAAACTTTATTAACTACCATGCCAATTTTTTGAAATTAATTTAATTTTGACATCAAAATCTCTTATTATTATTATTATGTTAATAAATAAGCCAGATTAAAACATATTTTCCAGGTCCATTTAGAGTGTTTTATAATTATATATATATATCGAAGATGCTCTGCGTGAATTTCAAGAGTCTACTTGGTGGAATATATGGCTAGCTAGATGAGTAAATATGCTTTTGCCATTAAGTGCAAAAAAAGAGAGCAGAAGTGGTCTTACAACAAAGGAGATTTACTAAATACAAAAATTCAAAGGTATTTTCACGAGAAAATATCTACTTCTTTTCCTTATTCTGATTGTGGGGAATATCTGCTCGTGTCTCCACAATTTGATGAAACACATTTTCTACCTGCTGGCTTTTATTGAGAATCAGCAGGCTTTTGCAGCTATGCATACGAATAATGGCCGGCGTGGACTAATTAATTTCTAAAACTATCCTGTGTCTCTCTCTCTTCCACCTTTGCAAAAAAAAATATTATCTGCATAACTTATCTTGTTTTTAATTTCAATAATGGTAATGTAGTGGTTACTTGATAATCATCTAAAACCCATACTTGACGAGGAAGACAAGCAAGACAGCCATGAGAATTAGAATAAACTTTTTGTTTTGTATTAGTTTATTTCATCATATTCCTCTATCTTTGTGGATGCGAACATTTTATTGATCAGATTCTACAATTAAGCATCGGAAAATATTATACCACTACATCTACATACCTTAATTTGTTAAATTGTATTACAAGAGATGCTGATTGGCTTGCTAAATTGGGCCATAATTTTTCTATTGGCTTATATATCCTTTACCCAGCAGAAAGTATTCTTTCTTTATTGCACTCGGATGCAATTGGGGTAGTTTTGCCTATGAGACTTATATAATCTTTCTTTTTTGAACTTAAATCTTGTTTCTAACCAAAAAAAGAAAAAAAAAAAAAAAAAAAAAAAAACAAGATCAAGGCATTTAAAAAGGAAAATAAAAGAGTAGTGTAGACTGCTACTCATGCTATGTACTTCAAAGCCAATCGCATGCGGCTAAAACCAAATGCATAGGTTTCAATCAACCAAATATTAACAATCGATTAGAATGTAAATCTCTTTCTTTTCTTAAAGAGAAAAAAAAAAAATCAGCATGTGAATCTACAAGGCATGCAGCTAGTGATCGAACATTTGGTGTCACGCATAATGGTGTTATATATATATAACTAGTTGTCTTGCCGCACTTTGTGTGCGGGTCATTTCAGTTAAATTTTCAGTTGTGCTTAAAATTATTTATTATAACTATAAAAATCATAGTTTAGAGAATGATTCAAATAAACTATATCCATGTCCTAATTGCAGAGGTAAATATTTTTGCATTATAACTAATTAAGTAGAATCAAATATCAATAAAAAAATTGCAAGTAAAATAGTGCCTTCTTCTTCGAAAGTTTTTTACGAGAGGCATTGTAATTTCCAACTCGAATAGAAGATATTGATAATGTTTGCTATCGCGACCTTTGGAGAAAATATCTCGCTATTTGTTCTTTTATCTTAACACATGTAGTCTTGATCAATCCATCTTTAAGCTTTTTCTTAATTAAGT